ACAGAGGACTGCTATCTGTCCCTCTAACAGAGGACTGCTATGTCCCTCTAACAGATGACTGCTATCTGTCCCTCTAACAGAGGACTGCTATGTCCCTCTAACAGAGGACTGCTATCTGTCCCTCTAACTGAGGACTGCTGTCCCTCTAACTGAGGACTGCTGTCCCTCTAACAGAGGACTGCTATCTGTCCCTCTAACAGAGGACTGCTATGTCCCTCTAACAGATGACTGCTATCTGTCCCTCTAACAGAGGACTGCTATGTCCCTCTAACAGAGGACTGCTATCTGTCCCTCTAACAGAGGACTGCTATCTGTCCCTCTAACAGAGGACTGCTATGTCCCTCTAACAGAGGACTGCTATCTGTCCCTCTAACAGAGGACTGCTATGTGCCTCTAACAGAGGACTGCTATGTCCCTCTAACTGAGGACTGCTATGTCCCTCTAACTGAGGACTGCTGTCCCTCTAACTGAGGACTGCTATCTGTCCCTCTAACTGAGGACTGCTATCTGTCCCTCTAACAGAGGACTGCTTTCTGTCCCTCTAACAGAGGACTGCTATCTGTCCCTCTAACTGAGGACTGCTATCTGTCCCTCTAACTGAGGACTGCTGTCCCTCTAACTGAGGACTGCTGTCCCTCTAACTGAGGACTGCTGTCCCTCTAACTGAGGACTGCTGTCCCTCTAACTGAGGACTGCTGTCCCTCTAACTGAGGACTGCTATCTGTCCCTCTAACAGAGGACTGCTATGTCCCTCTAACAGAGGACTGCTATCTGTCCCTCTAACAGAGGACTGCTATCTGTCCCTCTAACAGAGGACTGCTATCTGTCCCTCTTACAGAGGACTGCTATCTGTCCCTCTAACTGAGGACTGCTATCTGTCCCTCTAACTGAGGACTGCTATGTGTCCTTCTAACAGAGGACTGCTATCTGTCCCTCTAACTGAGGACTGCTATCTGTCCCTCTAACTGAGGACTGCTATGTCCCTCTAACAGAGGACTGCTATGTCCCTCTAACTGAGGACTGCTGTCCCTCTAACAGAGGACTGCTATCTGTCCCTCTAACAGAGGACTGCTATCTGTCCCTCTAACTGAGGACTGCTGTCCCTCTAACAGAGGACTGCTATCTGTCCCTCTAACAGAGGACTGCTATCTGTCCCTCTAACTGAGGACTGCTATGTCCCTCTAACAGAGGACTGCTATGTCCCTCTAACAGAGGACTGCTATGTCCCTCTAACTGAGGACTGCTATCTGTCCCTCTAACAGAGGACTGCTATGTCCCTCTAACTGAGGACTGCTATCTGTCCCTCTAACTGAGGACTGCTATGTCCCTCTAACTAAGGACTGCTATGTCCCTCTAACAGAGGACTGCTATGTCCCTCTAACTGAGGACTGCTATCTGTCCCTCTAACAGAGGACTGCTATGTCCCTCTAACTGAGGACTGCTATCTGTTCCTCTAACTGAGGACTGCTATGTCCCTCTAACTGAGGACTGCTATGTCCCTCTAACTAAGGACTGCTATGTCATTCTAACCGAGGACCGGTATCTGTCCCTTCTACAGAAGACTGCAATCTTGTCTCTCTTGTTCAGGACTGCTATAGTTCCCTACGACACCTCACTACTTTCTGTAGCTGAGAAAGGCGCGGGTGAGTTTCCACAAATCAATAACGCCTCACCCTGGATTCTATTCTGGGTCTCCTTCTTCAATAAGACATGGAGCTTGGTCACCACTTGCTTTGATTTCCTCTGCTATTGATTTCCCATCAAACATTCCGCAGGTCTCCAGTTTCTCAGGTCACCTGCGTGTTCTAGGTAAGCGCTTTCTGCCGAGGTTTTCACTGTTTCCTGTCTGGCTTGCTTATCTTCTTCTTCTGAAAGTCCACGTCGTGTGGCGTTGGTAGACGTGTCTATAAATAACATTCTGCCTAGTTTGTACATCGTTGCTTGCTGTGGTATATTGTTTGCTGACTTCTTAAAGTCCATGTCGTGTGGTGTTGGTAGTCGTGTCTATCCATAACATTCTGGTTCGTGTACTTTCAGCCAACTTTGACAAGTATGATCGACAATGCCATGATATCAAACTAACTTGCACCTTTTCTCACAGTCTCCCTCTGCCCCTCATCCTCTCTAGTTATCCTACTGTCACGATGTACTCCAGTTTTCTCCTTCTCATCACCTGACTAAAGAATGTAGATTGTCTCTTTCTTATGTCGGCAGTCAGTTCTCTTCGTGAGTCAGTTTCGTTCACGACATTCTTATTACTATATGTCCAGAATATTCTCATCATTCGTCTATAAAACAACATGTAAGTCAAGTAAAGGTCCCTTTTCCACGCCTTAAGCGTATAGGGCATATAGGGCTAGATCTATATTTTTTTAGACCAATCGGCACAAGATAGGTGATGTGGTCGGCATCACGCCGGCCGCCTTTACTTCCCGGGACTTCACCCGGTACCCACTCAAGGCTGGGTTGACATGAGAGTCAAGGTCATTTATATTCGGCTCCGCCAGGGAGCGAACTGACGACTTTCAGATCCGCACGCGAGCGTCTAGCCGCTACACGACGGCGACTCTCATAAAACACCATGGCTTGTTTATATTTAGGTAAAATAACTACAGGGCGCTATTGATTACAGTTAACAACATTGTAAGGCAGACCAAACAGTAAGACGGTCAGTTAACATAGGCATACGTAGGTACAGTATCAACTTAAACAGACACTCAAAAATAGAAAATCGATGAACACATACAGAAGTAAATCTAGCATCAGCTGACTTTAGACACACACATACAATATCAACAATCGTAAAAACACATTTGAAAACATATACATACGTATATGCAGTTTCAAATAACACATACACACATAAATAAAGTATCACCGAACACAGACATACATATACAACATCAACAAACGTAGACACACGTAAAAACAAATCTGCTAACATATACAAACGTATATGTAGCATCAACTAACTTATACATACATAAATTAAAACATCAACTAACACAGACACTCACATACAACATCTACTAACGTAGACACACGTAAATACAACATGATCAGGCATAGGTTAGTGTAAAAACGTCAAAAGTAAAAGACACGTCTGATAACAAAATGAACAAACGTAGACATGAGTTTAGTTGGGAACAGACATCACAGAAATTGCGACATTACCACAAACGCGCCGTCCTCATCTTAAGCAGTCGGAGAGTTTTAATTCTAATGGTACCATTAGCAATCCTATTGTATCTCTTTCTGGCCCTTTACCGCTGAGTGTTGAGCCTCGGCCAGAACTCCCTGGTCACTTGTGGCTGCACGATTCTCTTCAGATCGTGATGATCTGTTTGTGCTTCCGTACTGTTCACTCGCTACCAAAAGTCCTTGAGAACGTCTAGCTTGTCATAGATCTGTTTGTGCTTCCGCACTGTTCACTCGCTACCAAAGGTCCTTGACAACTTCCAGCTTGTCATAGATCTGTTTGTGCTTCCGCACTGTTCACTCGCTACCAAAGGTCCTTGACAACTTCTAGCTTGTCATAGATCTGTTTGTGCTTCCGCACTGTTCACTCGCTACCAAAGGTCCTTGACAACTTCTATCTTGTCATAGATCTGTTTGTGCTTCCGCACTGTTCACTCGCTACCAAAGGTCCTTGAGAACGTCTAGCTTGTCATAGATCTGTTTGTGCTTCCGCACTGTTCACTCGCTACCAAAGGTCCTTGACAACTTCTAGCTTGTCATAGATCAAAAATGAACTAAAAGCAGTTGATGTCACTCCGTCTCAGTTTAGTCGCAGTATTTCGTTACTTTAAAGCCCCACCCCGGCTATCGTTGGGAGCCCTAATATGATCTAACTATTGACCTTTTGATCCACAGGCGAGCATCTTGCCGCTACACCACCACGATGACGATGATGATGATGATAATAATAATAATAATAAGGATATTAATGAAAATATGCTCATTTGCTAATAAATATTATAAAATAATTAAAAAAGAAAAGGATTACATACAATAATACTTAAAAACAGAACCACTGTACCCGGTTGGGGAGGGGAAATGAGGGGCGTTGGTGGTTAGGCCTATAACAAACTTTCTAAGAATGGGAAGGGGCGCTCGGAAGCCTTAGCTCCCAATTTCTTGCGCTACTGATTCCTTGTGGAACCTAAACGGTAATTCCCGAAACGCATATAATAATAATAATAATACTACACAACGTGTAGTACTGTACTCTTTAATGGACAGTTCATAACGACGAACAAACAACTGTCAAAGAAAGGAATTACGCACACACAGAGGAACACAACTCCTCAATTGTTAATTAGTATTATTTTTATTCAGGCCTTGTCGTGAAAAAAATCTGGTCGTAAAGTTGCCAAGTAAAACAACACAACGATCAATTCCTATAATATTGGTTTGGGAGGTTATATGAGTAAAATACAGCTAACAATCGGACAACTGAGCACGCATGAGAATGCTCAATGAACATTGACGTCGACTACGATAACATAATATTATACTTATTTCAGTGACCTTGAAAATTACTCCATAACTGGCATGTGAAAATACTTAGCAGGTACTTGTAAAGTGTACACTGCTAACAGGGAAACCAACTGATCTGTTTAAAGATAAAGCTAACTGGTGCACGGCAAAATTTAGACTGTATGATAACTTTCATCAAGGCTACTGGTCTTCTGATATAAGTTTTCTGGCAAAAGGATCGATGGAGAAGAAATTGGAGGAGGAGGAGCAGAAGAAGAAGAAGAAGAAGAAGAAGAAGAAGAAGAAGAAGAAGAAGAAGAAGAAGAAGAAGAAGAAGAAGAAGAAGAAGAAGAAGAAGAAGAAGAAGAAGAAGAAGAAGAAGAAGAAAAAAGAAAAAGTAAGCAGTATGATAAGAGTAACTCAATAGTGTGGATGAGTTTATTTATTTATACATTTAATTTCCCCATTCCCACCCCCCTTTCCCCCAAAACACGGCACACAAAAGTCCATAAATAAATGTCTCAGTTTAAACTGTACTCCTCTGCACTCCGTACTAACAAGAAAGAGAGCAGTATCACAAATACCCAGTGTTGGATGACCTTAACCCCTGTCGACCTTCCCTGCATAGTGCAGACTTCAGCTACAGTTGCATTGTGGGATGTCTGGCACTGTTTGGGTATGAGAGTACAGTGTAACTTCCGCTTGAGGTTCAGTGTGGTTTCCGTACAGTCCTCGTCGCCCTTGGCTTCCCAGGCGGTCAGGTCACACTGGATGTGGCTTAGTATGACGCTGAAATGTTTTATACAGGTGTGAGAATGGACAGAGAAATTACTCGTTGGTGTAAGAATAATAGGCAACAGGGAGAGGGGACAAGGATGACCATGGAGAATAGGCGTGGAAAATGTAAACAGCAAGTATCAGTCAGCACAATCAACGTCATTAAATTATTGCATCAGAAAATCTGTGAAAAGTCATGATCGCCTAAATCTGTTTCAGGTCACGTGCCTGCTGAAGAAGAAGAAGAAAAAGAAAGAAAGAAGAAGAAGAGAAGACAAAACGTAGTAGTAGTGCTCAGTATAAATACACAGAAGCCAATAAGGAAGTTAAGAGGCGTATAAGGGCAGATAAAGTGAAATATCTAAATAATCTAGCATAAGAATCGGAGACAGCAGCAGCAAAAGGAAATCTCAGAGAACTTTACAGTAACACAAGGAAATTAGTAGGTAAATATAGTCAGCCAACTGGATCAATCAAAAATAGTCAAGGAGAGGTACTTACTAACACTAAAGATCAAATGGACAGATGGGTTGAATATTTTTAAAATGCTTCTAAATAGACCAGGTCTAAAGATTCCCCCAGATATTCAGCCATTAGAAATCGAACTCGATATCTACTGTGAGATACCATCTAAAGAGGAAATTAGAAAAGCTATTAATCTTCTAAAGGAAAGAAAGGCGGCAGGCCCAGATGGTATCCCAGTTGAAGCCATTAGGGCCAACATAAACACATCAACAGAATCGCTACATAGATTATTTAGTAAAGTCTGGGAGACGGAAGAAATACCAGCAGACTGAAGAGAAGGATATCTTGTGAAACTGCCCAAAAAAGGTGATCTACAGGAGTGTGAAAACTATAGAGAAATTATGTTGCTGTCAGTTCCTGAAAAAATATTAAGTAGACTTATTTTGGAAAGATTAAAAGATGCTATTGATAAAAAGCTAAGAGATGAACAGGCAGGTTTTCGATCAAACAGATTCTGTACTGACCAGATAGCCACATTACGTATTATAATAGAGCAAAGCATTGAACTGAACTCACCACTTTACATTGGATTTATAGACTGAAAAAGCATTTGACATTGACAGGGAATCTATTTGGAAATTGATGGGGCACTATGAAATCCCACAGAAAATTATTAACTTAGTAAATGAGATAGATGAGGGAAGGCTAACAGATAGATACATCTGAAATAGAAACAGGTGTGCGACAGGGATGTGTTTTGTCGCATCTCTTTTTTTTTTTTTTACTGGCTATACACTGGATTGTGAAGACAGTAACTGCTAACACCAAGAATGGAATTCAGTGGACCCCTACAAAACAGCTTGATGATCTGGACTTCGCTGATGATATTGCTCTTCTGTCCCATTCACTGAACCAGATGCAAGATGAATTAAATATACTTGATGTGAGATCACAGCAGCTTTGTCTGAAAATCCATAAAGGAAATACAAAGATAATGAGAATAAATCAGGCAAATAGTAATGTGGTTTCTCTTAATGGCACCCCACTGCAAGACGTGGAGTCGTACACCTATGTGGGCAGTAATGTAGATAAAGATGGAGGAACTGATAAAGATACTAAAATAAGAATACAAAAGGCAAGAGCAGCTTTCATAGCACTAGAGAATTTGTGGAGGTCAAAAGAAATTTAGAGAAATACTAAACTAACAATTTTTAATTCTAATGTCAAATCAGTACTTTTGTATGGGGCGGAAACATTGAGAACAACTAAGGCAATTACTAATCAATTACAGACATTCATTAACTGGTGCCTGCGCAGAATAGAGGGAATTAAATGGTATAATATAATAACTAATGTAGAGCTTTGGGAGAGAACTAAACAGGCTCCAGCGGACCGAGAGGTGAGGAAAAGACGCTGGCGTTGGATAGGACACAAACTGAGAAAACAGGAAAACAGCATAACTAGAATGTCTTTGCATTGGAACCCACAGGGGCATAGGAATAAAGAAAGGCCAACAAACACACGGAGAAGAGAGCTGGAGAATTAAGTTAGAAAGATGGGGTGGACATGGGGAGAGCTCTATGCAATGGCGATGGATAGAACGACTTGGCGTGAGTTGGTTGAGGGCCTATGCTCCATTGGGGGATAGAAAGGCAGAAGAGTAGTAGTAGTAGTAGTAGTAGTAGTAGTAGTAGTAGTAGTAGTAGTAGTAGTAGTAGTAGTAGTAGTAGTAGTAGTAGTAGTAGTAGTAGTAGTAGTAGTAGTATTAGTAGTAGTAGTAGCAGCAGCAGCAGCAGCAGCAGTAGTCGTGGTAGTAGTACTAGCAATAGTAGTGTGCCCTATAACGCCCACGGGGAAGAGCACAGTAACTCACCCACAAACTTCCTGGTAATACTGCTCCTCGGTCCAGCTCTGTGTCCGCGCTTTGATCACCATTGCCAGAATTGTTCGATACTTAATAGACTGGCAGTGCTCGACTTCCTTTGTATGAGAATCGAAACAGCCCAGGCTTTGCAAGTAGGCTGTGGGATTACGTCAGAATTTAAATAATGAAGCTGTTGTTAAGATAAGAGTGAATATCCGTACCCTTTAGGTTAACCCTTAGTGCTTAGTCTTCCCTAGAAGATAATTACAGTGCAGTGGAATGCCATTTCTTTTTCGTTTTTTAACTAATTTTAAACAAGAGATGATTAACTTTACTGCATTGTTGATGTACTTCACATAATCTAGTCTCTCCCTCTCTCTTCCCCCTCTCTTTCCCTCTCTCTCGCTTTCTCTCTCTCTCTCTCTCTCTCTCTCTCTCTCCTCTCTCTCTCTCCTCTCTCTCTCTCTCTCTCTCTCTCTCTGTCTCTCTGTGCCAGCCATGTCGGAGTGCATGGTTCTGTTAAGGCGTACTTTTTGTTCCTAAGAAGATTTATGGGGATCGTAGTTGGTGATGTCTGCCAGCCTACCAACCAGCGTCGCACGAAAAACGAACATCACATCACCAACAACGATCCCCATAAATCTTCTTGTTAAAAAAAAAATACCTGCCTTAACAGAACAATGCACTTCGACATCGTCGTCAAACCGTTATCAGCAATTCTCTCTATATGCCACAACCATGATAGTCTATTAGCCCTCACGATGTCAGTGATTAGTAGCGATCGAAACATAATATGTATTTCATTGTTGTTTCTCGCTGGTATCTCGCTGTTTGTATCTCGCTGGTATCTTGCTGTTTGTATCTCGCTGGTATCTCGCTGTTTGCATCTCGCTGGTATCTCGCTGTTTGCATCTTTGATTAGGCCAAAGAAACGTCTTAGGCTGTTCTCAAAAATCTGTAACAGGGCTTCAACTCCTTTAGCTGTACTCCAGGTTTCAGAGCCATGTGGGAGAACTGGTCTTATCTGCGATATTGTGAAGTTGTTCTTACTTGACACTTACATTAGCTGAGTTTTCTTTGCAGAAGACCAGCCTCATCACAACCCCCCCCCCCCTTTTTTCCCATTAGTGATTTCACTTGGAAAGTTTACGTACAGTAGTTGCTATTGCTTACTCCGCGGTCGGTTCTCGGTACCACCTATGAGTCTAGAACCATCAATACTAAGAAACACACAATGAAATAACAGCATGAACAAGAACCAGAATTAAAACGAATGCTATCTAGGAAAAGTTAGTTCCCTAGGTAGCGGGTGGCTTGGCCAATTCACATTAATGATGATGATGATGATAATGATGATTATGAAGCGGTTAGCTACCAAATCGTCGGCAGCTGGGATCAAACGCGGTACCCTGGCATTACGAAGCACATTCGCAAAGTCTAAGCCACAGAGCCGACTATAGAATAGAGGCTATATAAACAAAATTTCATAATTTGTTTATGTTTAGATTTGATCCATCAGCATTTAAATTACAACAAATGGTTGGCACCTCTCCGACTTTCCAGACGAAAATGTTATCTTGTGCTTTGAGGAGGTATGGGACTCCCAGCCCATGGCGATGGCGAGTGTGACGAGCAAGAGCCGCCTGCATTAAGAAAAAGTCTTCCACAATAATAGCATGGGATTTCAGGACCGTTGTTGTCAACATTTATATTTCTTCTCAGATCCTCAGTTCTCATTTCTTTATGCAGTTATTTCTTGCTTCATTCTCATTCCCTTCCCGATAATATAGCAGTCTATGGCATTTGGTTCCCATGAGTCCACCTCAATACCTCTATCATTCATACATTAATACAGCTGCCTCTCATAAATACGTCTATTTTGGCCTGCTATCCCAAAAAAAAAAAGTGTTTTCTTACACGAATCTAAAACTATGTTCTCTAATATAATAAATAGAGAAGGCCGTGTATGGGCATACTGACATGTGAATTGAGGAATCATTGCATCGACAGATTATCTCTCACCTGGTTTATCCGCACACAAAACCTGCACGCCTTTATTCATGAGATCTAGGTCAAGGCCGATCGAGCTGAGAACCACATGGGATTCCTGGCAGTCGTCACGTGACTGGCGCAGACACGTGTACAGCGACTCACTGTGTCTGTGAAGTTCACATGGTGATAGTTAGACAGTATCTATCTATCTATCTATCTATCTATCTATCTATCTATCTATCTATCTATCTATCTATCTATCTATCTATCTATCTATCTATCTATCTATCTATCTATCTATCTATCTATCTATCTATCTATCTATCTATCTATCTATCTATCTATCTATCTGTCTGTCTGTCTGTCTGTCTGTCTGTCTGTCTGTCTGTCTGGTCTGTCTGTCTGTCTGTCTGTTTCCGTCTGTCTGTCTGTCTGTCTGTCTGTCTGTCTGTCTATCCTATCTATCTATCTACTTATCTATCTGTCTGTCTGTCTGTCTGTCTGTCTGTCTGTCTGTCTGTCTGTCTGTCTGTCTGTCTGTCTGTCTGTCTGTCTATCTATCTATCTATCTATCTATCTATCTATCTATCTATCTATCTATCTATCTATCTATCTATCTATCTATCTATCTATCTGTCTATCTATCTATCTATCTATCTATCTGTCTATCTATCTGTCTGTCTATCTGTCTGTCTGTCTATCTGTCTGTCTGTCTGTCGGTCTGTCTGTCTGTCGGTCGGTCTGTCTGTCGGTCGGTCTATCTGTCTGTCTGTCTGTCTGTCTGTCTGTCTGTCTGTCTGTCTGTCTGTCTGTCTGTCTATCTAATCTACATACCTATAAATTTTCTGGTCTGCGTATACGAATGCCTGTTGCTTGTCTATTTATTTGGTTGACTGTTAATCTAATCTATTTAACGACATCTGTCTCAGTCTTCTGCTGTCTCTTTATTTCTTTCCACCCGCTAGTCAATCAGCATCACCATCACCATCATCATCATCACCATTATCACCATCGCCTCCATCACCATCATTATCTTAGTGTACCCTGCCAGGCGGCGCAGGTGCTCATCTCTCCATATATCTCGGCCCTTGGTATCTTGAATCACTTAAACTGATGATTTTCCATTATGCAATAGCTTTAGGCCATCATGCATCGTCTGACTGCCTGCTTCAGCCTCTTCTACTGTTGATCTCTCCAGTTATCACGATCTTCACCAACGTCTGTCTTCTCATCACACGACCAAAGAACCCTGACTGCCTCTTTCTCATAGTTGTACACAGTCTTCTAATGTCCCAGCCATTTCCAGGCAGTCTTTGGTGCTGGTCACTGTGTCTGTTCACGGTACCCGCAACATCTTCTCAGAAACCACATCTTCACGACCCAGAGGCGTAGCAAGAAAAGCTGTCTGCCGCACCGAATGTCATCTCTGAGAGCGTGACAAAATGCGCAAAAAGCGTGTGTTTGGATGTAAGTGTGTGAGAGGAAATTTTCCGCACCGGGTACCACATGACCTTGCCACGGCCTCCTAAGTTCTTTGAAATTTGTTTATTCACATACATTCTGCAGCCAACAGCGTATTTTCTTTATCTCTTGGTCCACTGGCACTTGTTTAGTTCTCTCCCAAAACTCAGCACAAGTGATTCGGTCATACAATTTAATTTCCTTTTGTTCTGCTCTGAGTCGGCTCTGTGGCTAAGTCGATGCGATCGCTTCGTAATGCCGGGATGCCGGGTTCGATCTCAACTGCGGGCCATGCGCCTTGCGTTGGTTTCTACAGTGGTATCAAGAAAGCTGGCCGTACAGAAAGCAATGGCAAACTATTAGACGTAAATTTGCCCATAAAGGTTCTGCAACGTCCTGTAAAGAATACGAAGCTAACCCCTTCTGCTCATGCACCAGTTAATGAATGTTTGTAGTTTATTCTTAACTGCCTCAGATGTTCCCTTATGTTTTTTCTTCATACAACAGTACTGATTTGACATTAGAAAAGAAATTTAGGTTTAGTATCAGTTTTAATTTATTTTGACCTCCATATATTTCCCAGTGCTATGAAAGCTCCTTTGGTCTTTTTTTGGTTTTAACATTTCATCAGATCTTCCATCTTTTCTACAATGCATCTATCTGTATGTCTATTAATCAGTCTGTCTGTCTGGCAATATATACATCCACTCACGTGTGTAATTTTCTTCTTCTTCTTCTTCTTCTTCTTCTTCTTCTTCTTCTTCTTCTTCTCTTATTTCTTCTTCTTCTCTTCGTATTCGTCTTTCTTTCTTCTTTCTTCTTCTTCTCTCTATTCTTCTTCTTCTCTTCTTTCTCTTTCTTTCTTCTTTTTTCTTCTCTCTTCCTTTCTTCTTCTTCTTCTTCCTTCTTCTTCTCTTTCTTCTTCTTCTTTTTCTTCTCTTCCTTTCTTTCTTCTTCTTCTCTATCTTTTCTTTCTTCTTCCCTCTTCTTCCTTCTTCTTTTTTTTCCTTCTTCTTGTCTTCTTCTTCTTCCTTTTCTTTTCTTCTTCTCTCTTTCTTTTCTTTCTTCTTTTCTTCTCTTCTTCTTCTTTCTTTTTCTTTCTTTTTTCTTTCTCTTCTTCTTTTCCTTCTCTTTATTCTTCTTCTTTTCTTCTTCTTCTTTCTTTCTTCTTTTTCTTTTCTTCTTTCTTTCTTTCTTTCTTCTTTCTTCTTCTTTTCTTATTTCTTCTCTTCTTCTTCTCTCTTCTTTTCTCTTTTTCTTCTTCTTTCCTCTTCTTTCTTCTTCTTCTTTTTCCTTTCTTCTTTTCTTTCTCTCTTCTTCTTTCTCTTTTCTTCTCTTCTTCTTTCTTTTCTTCTTCTTTTTCTTTTCTCCTTCTTCTCTTTTCCTTTCTTTTTTTTTCTTCCTCTTCTTTTCTTTTTTTTCTCTTCTCTTCTTTTTCTTCTCTTTTCTTCTTCTTTTCTCT